GGAGTGCACACAGGCGTGCTGGGCTCCCCTCCCCCACACTCACTCCCAAGTCCAGCTTTTTCTTCCTGTAGACATGTAAGGAAAACAGGCTTATTTGTATGTGCTCGATGATAATTGAGGGTCTTTTTAACTATGAAATGTCATGCTATAAAACGGAACTTTTTCCCTCTTTGTTGGGTGGTCGGCCCCAGCTCCTCAAGGAAGTTGAAAGTTGTTTAGAGAAGCACACTCAACTCCTTCCATTGTGTATGATGAGCTGAAAATAAATCTTTCACAGAACCAATGCTGAAAATAAGCTATGATTTCAGCGCAAAATCAAAACATCATCCTGAAACCCACCCTGCAGAAGTCTCATAAAACTTCCATTTGAGTCACTTTTTATTTCTTCAAACTTTACACTAAAGGTTATGTAAGCATCGTGTAGCGCGTGGCTCATCCAACAGTAGATAAAGGAAATTTTCGAGCATCTCCCAGGAATTTCCTCTGGTTATAAATTACTAGAAAGGGTGGAACTTTTGACAGTCAGTGGATAAATCTGACAAATGATTTTGCATTTAACACAGAACAGAAACACTGGAGCCACCCTAGCTTTGAGGACTCACCTCACTAGCAAGACCATTTTCTCCCCGCCCTCTTTTGCCCTGTTTCAGAGGGTGAAAGGCGCGTTGCATGACAGAGCAAGGCAGTGACCTCAGCACACTCGCTGCTTTCTTTCCCCAGTGTCCACCTTCTCATGAATAGTGGCGACAGTGTGTCCTGCTGCACAAGAGACCACCGTGGGCCTGCTGGAGGGCCATTCAGCCACTCCTTGGCCACGCAGGCTTTGTGCACTCGTGAGAGCTTCCTGTACGCCAGGTGCCCAGGTGCCAGGGAACAACCTGTGACAAAGTAATATTAGCCAGGCAAGATCATATCCGGGAAAGGGCGAGGGCATCCTAGGTCAGTATATTTTTATGTTTAGATGTTACTATTCAGCTGAGGAATTCTCAGTGGCTACCTCTGCTTCTTTTCCCCCAATAAATCCCCAGCTCTTAAACTGAGTCATTGAAGACGTTATAGAAGCAAAGGGCTGTCTACATTGCATGCTTATTTGCCCTTGAATTTTCTATGCGTTGAACAAATTGAATCGTCCATCACTTCCTTCACAGCTACAGCAGAGAGACTGTTCACTTAGATTATGTTGCATCCAGGAATGCGTATCTCCTAATCCGTTTATTCCACATCCCCACTTTTGCCAGCAGCAACTGAGCTCTGTCAGCAGGAGAATATGGAGTGCGAGGAATGGAATTCCACAGAGCCCAGGATATGTGAGATTTCATCAGCTGGTTAGCATACAGATTTATCTGGAAATTTCCACCCACGTGAGAAGGCAGGGCAGGAGTGCTGAATGTGGTGCAAGGAGGTAGAAAGCAGCAGGACTTCAGCAGCAGGGGCAGCAAACACCTGTGTGTTCCGCAGTGGGGAAGAGGAGCAGCTCTTCTCACTTGGGTATCAGGGCCATGCTCATCCAGAATGGTGGGGAAGACCCAAGAGGGGATGGCGTCCTTCAGGAGGGAGGTGGGGAGATCCAGCCCAGCCCAGGCCCAGCAAGCGTGTGGCAGAGCTTCTGGCTTCCCTGTGCCCACAGGACCCCTCCAGACCGAAAATCAGGCACGTGCGTGAGACCCTCTACCGTGCCATTGGGAGCCCTGCAACCCTCCGGAGCCCCTGCCCCCAAGCCTGCAGAGTGAGTGAGAACTTCTGCAACTCTCTCAGGACCCCCAGATCCAGCCCAAACCCAGGCCTGTCTAGTGTGTGGGAGAGCTTCTGTGCTCCTTGGGCCAGGGTCACAACAGAGGGGCACAACAGGTTCACTTGCAAGGGCTGCAGCAGGAAGGAGCTGAATACAACAGTTAGACCCAAGCCAGGCATAACTGGATAAACTCAAACTTAATAGAACTGCACCCGAATTTCAGTAGATGCTAAGGTTATAACTGCACCAAAGCTCTACACCAAAGGTCAGAGGTCAGTGCTATATGAAATGATAAAGACAAGGAGCAAAATGCAATCTCAGGCCTCAAGCCCACCCATAACAAGTGCAAAGGACACTAGCTCCACTGAAATGTATGAATTAACAGTGTCGCAAGTAAAGAAACAACAGCAGAAAGGTAGAGAGGAACTCAGAGCAGAATTAATTTCTGAAATAAAAAAAGAAATCTCTGAATTCATAGAATCTGAAGCAAAGAATCTAATACAGAAACATATTGGGGAAACCCAATGCCCACCCAGAACAAGTGCAGAGGACACTAGCTCCACTGAAATGTATGAATTAACAGTGTCACAAGTAAAGAAACAACAGCAGAAAGGTAGAGAGGAACTCAGAGCAGAATTAATTTCTGAAATAAAAAAAGAAGGGAGGTGGGGGGAGACAGGGGAGTAAGGGGCTGCCAGTCCTGCTGGGGACACTCCCAGGATACCCGGGCTCTGGCTGTCATCTGCCCAGTGGGCCAACTCTGCTATTGATTCCCCTCTGTGCAAAACAGCAATGAAATAACTGCAAATTTTTCAGTAATGAGAAAAATGAGTAAATGAAAGCCTGCCTTTTAAAACTTGTTTTCGCAGTGCATCCAACTTGCTCAGACAAAGAACAACCAAAATTTGGAACTTTCCCAAGGATTTATTGCTTGTGCTTGCCAGCACGCCTGAGTAAAATCAAACCCTTAAGAATCATCTAATCTCTCTTTACAGGTGACTTCAGGGAGAAATAGATGTCTGAATGCTTAAGGGCAAGTCAAGTAGAAAATATGCTTCGTGAAAATGCCTGACAAATTTTGACACAACATGCTTTATAATAACAATAATTATGAGATGGTCTGATAGGAGGGGCCCTTGGGCTTCTGGAGCTCACTGATGCCAATTGTGGGGACAGGGGTAAAAGATTTTATCTTAGATATTCACTGTCACATTTTATTTTGACGAGCCTTTTAGAAATGTTCTTGTCATTCAAAACAACAACAAAACACAGGAGGTCTGTTATAGTATTTTTATATGTAAGACCCAAAATGATCACCAGGCTAGTAATTTATCTTGTGATATTCAGTCTTCATGAAACCAATTTTGGGAATGAATATTTTAAAAATTAGAAGTTTATCTTGGCCACTCGTCTCAGCTTCTGCTTGCATATGTGGCCGGGTTCTCAAGCCTGGTGCAGATTAAATGAACTCCTACCGTCTCTCTGCTGACCCAACACATTTCCAAGACTGCGAAGGGCAGTGTCACTCTTCCAGTCCCTCTGGTCGTGACCATAGAGTCGCTCTTGACTCCTTCTCCCTCTTCATGCCACCATCCAGGTGGGCAGCATGTCCTGTTTGTCAGATCTGCAGATCAGATCCAGTGTCTCAGCTCTCTTTGCTTTCACCACCACTTTCTGTGCCGTCGTTTACAAGCTGACCCGTAACCATCTTATGTGGACTCCTTCCTTTCCTCTTATACCAGAGAAACCACTCATAGGTGGTCAGAATGATCTTTTTAAAGCTTCATATTCTCCCGCTTACAACTTTGCAGCAACCCTTTATTTCTCCCACAGCAAAAGTCCTCCAATGTCCTCCAAAGCCTAGGAAATCTCACCTTTTCTCCCACCCCATTCATGTAAGTAGCCTGTGTCCTGGTCTCCTCCGTGTGGTCTTGGTCACTTTCCCTCCTTGCTCTTCTTTTCTGCAGGTGCTGCTGGGCTCCTCCGCGGCTTGCTCCTCAGCCCGAGTCTGCTACTGCAGACCCACCGGACCCAGCAGGGCACCCAGTGGCCTTGGGAGTAGCTGTAACCACAGAGATACTCCCACAGGGAGGCCTTGAAGCCTTCTGCTGAAGGCGGATGCGTCTTTTAGCATGAAAATGCTAAAATGATAGACAAAAAAGGTAGAGAAATCGGGGACATCTCATGTCCCTGTAAAGACAGTGGGACATAAACCACTTACGAAGGTGTTTCCCAAGCTACCCCACTTCTATATTTTATACCATGTCTTGTCTTAAAGCTAGAAATTTCATGAGACTTCCTGTAGCACTTAGAAAAGAGACAGGAGAGAAACGAGATGTTCAATAGGCAGCTAACTTCTAAATCTTAATTCTCATTCGATTTTCAACTTCTAAAGCAACCAGTTGAAATACTTACACAGGAAGAGTATGACTCACCACCGAACTGCAGGCTGGGCTTCCCTCCACTTCCAGAAGGCTGCTTAGATTTGACAGCTAGTGTCTTCACCACTGACACTTCAAGCCTAAGCAAACAACTAAGTGATATTAGAAGGTGGAAGGTCTTAGATTCTGACCGAGGAATAAAAGAAATCAAACAGCCAAAAAGAAAAGAAAATACATGTTCTATGTGGTACACATTAAGAAAAATTGATGAACTTCACCAAATATTGTTGTCTTAAGGAACATTTGACATGTTCTGAATTTCGAAAAAGATTGCCCATGTGACCCGCCATCTCTACCGTGTTTTCAGTAAAAATTTAGAATAAAGATCAAGTTTCCAGTGGATGACTCACTACTATTATGGACCATTGGACTATATTGGAATATTTTGCTGAATTCATGCACCTACAATATTTAAATGATGACGGAATACCCTTCTCTGACAAAAAAAAAGGGGATACAAATGAATGACCATTTTGTATCTGTATATTCAAAATAGGATAGATATACAGCTACATTCTCTTAATTCAATGAATATGAAGATTTGTTCTAATAGTGTTTGTGGATGAGATGTCATGTCTGCATCTTGTACAATGAATAACCACTGAGACAACAATGTGCAATGTATTTATTATTGAAACTGTCCTACTGATTGGCTTTGAAACTGTCTCATTGCTATTTGTTTCTCAATAAAATTATTTTTTAAAAAAGATCACGTTTCTAGGAAAGAAAACCCTGAAAGCACACCATCACCTTCCAGGTCCTCAGAGAAATAGCTTTTATTTCTCTTTTGTTCTCATCACTATGAACTTACATGGTAGATTTCGGGTTGTTACCTCCTCTAGGCCTGATATACTGCTGACTTCGCGCCATGATGCATCCGATTTAGCTCATTTACATGTCTGTGGTGTTCATTTTTGTTTTTCCCTCAGTTGCCTTTGTTATTCTGTTTTCTGTTAACTATACACAGTATCTCTAGATACTAATTCATGATTGCTTTTTATTTTAAAGAGAATGTTTAAGAAACAATAAAAGCGAGACAAAGTTTCAAAGCAAGGGAATAGGAAATGATCAATGGTTATTATATTGCATTTTGTCCTCTTCAAAGTAGTTGCTCAGATTTCCAGAGAGAGACATGTAACATAGGGGGAAAATATAGGCACACACAGAGATAGCTAAGAGGATTGTACTGCTAGTGCTCGTACCGTTTGCTGCATGATTCTTGGGCACATTCAGGCATTTCCACTGTGTCCGCGCACCACCAAGGTGGAGAACATCGCATTTGTGCTCCCTGTCAATGGGCCTTGTATTTTTAGGTGTGGTTTGTTCTTGGGTTAGCCGACACCTAGTGAGGATTGACTGTGTACAAGCCCTGTTCTGAGTCATTTGCATAAAATAAGTCATCTCAGCTCCACCATAGACTATAAAATAGGTGAGTATTATTATTCTCATCTAACAGAAAGGCAATTCTGTAACAGAAATTAAGCAAGTTTCTGACTCACCCAGCAAGCAGCATCTGTGGAGCCTGTGATCTAAACAATTCCGCACAGTCTCTTTAGGTGGTCTATTAAGGTGGAAAGCCATTAATCACTGTTTACATTCAGCGACAACACAAGCAGCATCCACTGCCATCGAGTAGTACACTATTATTACAATTCGCCTCTCCTTGGTGCATTTGCTAGCTAGGAATTCCTAGACCCTTTCTTCTTCCCTTGCGTGGCTCCTTTCCAGTCTCTCCTGAGAACAGTACCAGGTCTACTTCCTGGATGCCGCCCGAAGTTTTCTCTCCCGGCCCCACGGGTTCCAGTCTCCTTGTCCAGCTCTGTCCGCTCCTGGGCAGACCGTCTGCTTCCTGGGTCTCACCTTTTGCTGTCTTCAGCTCCTGTCTCACTGGGCTGCAACATAGTCGCCTGCACTATCCTAAGAAATGGAAACAGAAGTAGCATTCCGGGCCTTTAGGTTTTTGAACATCCTGTAAAGTATACTTCTTCAAAGCGTGTGGCTACTTTCTTAGAAGAAGGGTGAGTGAAAAAACTTGTTTATGTGAAAAGTACACTTCACTCAAAACTTTGAAGGCACTGCTTCTTATCGCTGGCTTTCTAAATTCTCCAATAGACGGCAAACTCGCACCGGCTGCTTCATTGTTATCTGCACCTTTCCACGGGAAACTGCGACGATAACGTTTTTGTTGGAGCTCTGAAATTTTAAGGCAGTGGGGACAGTGACAGTGTGAGCAGGGCTTACTGCCCCATGTGCTAAGCAAGGCTTTATTTTTTTATTTTATTTCATTTTTTTGGAACCGGGGATTGAACTCAGGCCCTTGCACTTGCCAGGCAAGTATTTATTCAACTGAGCTATCTCCCCAGCCCTTGAGGGTTTAGACATCTGCATACTCCATGAAAATGGTTTTTTATTTCATCGCCCCTGTTTTCTCTACTCTTTGTTTAAAATTCCTACAAGTGCAGTGTTGACTCTGAATGAGCATACATTAATAGATATCTTAACATTTATTTCATGTTTTCTGTCCTCCCAACATTTTTATCTTTATTGTAGGCTGATCAATAAACTCTTTTAGGACGGGTGTAGTTCACACACTTGTAGTTCTAGCATCCAGGAGGCTGAGGCAAGAGGAACGCTGTGAGCACTAGGCCAGCCTGGCCTACAAAATGAGATCCTCTCTCAAAAAATGAAACAAAAACAACAAAAAGACCATCATACCTCTTTTAGCCATTCTTTTTGCTTTCCTTTCACAAATGTGCAGGCTACAGAGACCCTTCTGCTCTCTGCCTGCCCCTTTTTTGCAGCACTCTGGTTTTGCTCAGTGAATGCGGAATCTTCCCTCATCTCGCTTGTACTCATCAGGAGGACGTTTCCCCACTCCACTCAGAATTAGCTGTTGCCTCTAGAATCACTCTTTCGCTTGCTAGTTTGAGCTCTCTGCTCTTGCAGGCTTTTCTCCTGCATGGCAACCGTGGCCTTTCCATTCATATCTGAGCACAAGGCAGCCCCAGGAGAGTGGGCAGGACTGGTCAGCAGCCCTCACTCGAGTGGGTCCCAGTGACACTGCACACGGGACCTCTGCCCTGTCCCCTTGCCACTTCTCTGGTTTGTTGATTGAATCCAGAGACAAAGTGCCTCCTTGCATTTCTCTTTCAGCAGACTGCACCGGCTGGGGGCTGGGGGAGGCCGAGGTCGTGTCTGATCTTACCTGGCACTTCACTCCTGAGTCCCCTGCCTCACTCCGTGTCCTGCTGTCCCGTGCCCTCTGCTGCCCCACAGAGGACTGTCTTGCCCGCGGCCCTCTCTTGCAGCAGTTCTGGCAGAAGCCTCTTCCCATCAACACACACCAGGCTTCCTGGGCCTCCAGAAAGGTGCTGGGCTGTTCCCTAGCCGCAGGCCCCTTCTGCCCTGTTGGCGGCTCTGAGCCCTGAGCGCAGCTCTGCCATCATCCACGCTAATGCCACGTGCCGAGTGTTGCTGTTTGGCCATCACACGTTTTTGTCTTTTTCTTTTTCTTTTTTCTTCTTTTAATTTGTGTATTTGGTACATGGTCTCACTATGCAGCTCAGCCTCATAGTGATCCTCCTGTGTTCAGCCTCCCCAGCACTGGGATTACAGGTGTGTGCCACCACGCCCAGTCTCTGTGGCCAGTTCAGCATGCCCGGGGGCGGGGCCAGCATGGCCTCTGACAGCAAGAATCAAACCCCAGTTTCTGCACTTGCCTAGGCAGGCTCTTAGTCCACTGTAAAATAAGGCACCTAGAACAGTCCTGGGGTCAGAGTGTTGCGGGCTCGGTGGCTCCCGGTTCTGGGAGAGAGAATCCTCTGCGGGGATGCATGCACATGAGCCGGAGGTCTGTGGGGATGGGATGCAACCACGTAACCCAGGCCAGGTTTAGACTATGTGAGGAAAAGCAGAGGTCCCTTGGGCTAAGCATAGCTCCGATAATACCCAGCCAGTGCTGCTGGTAGATTACCAACGTGACGAGTTCCTCACAGTCACTATGAGAAATACATGCATTTAACTACATAAATTCACAAATTTTTTACTTGAACTATGATTGGGTTTCCTTGGCCAGAAAGCTCAGAGTTCCCAGCCATCCTCACTTGTCATTAAAGCGGCTGTTCCCTGGAAGGTGCATTTTTCACTTCAGGAGAAGGTGCAAAATGTAGTGTGCATCTCCTGCTGAGTTTGGTGCAAATGCAAAACGCTGGGCCTTAACCCCAGAGAGTATGCCTCAGACAACCCTCATCCGTACCCGGAAGCCTCCGAGGCAGAGGCAGCTGGGCTGTTCCTTTAGAATAGCACTGGAAGACTCCGAGAAAGAAGAGGCACGTTAATGGATAAGCGTGTGCTTCCTGCTAAGTGCTTCAAGGAAAGCAGACAGGAGAAAATCAACGCGGGAAGACCTGAAGGTAGCTGCTTTAGCGCGGAATAGATGGCAGGGCGTCACAGCGAGCGCGCAAGCGAACCAAAGGGTGCAGGGGGCATGTCGAACTAGTTTCTTTTCTTAGAGGAAAACCCCATTTACCTAGCTTTAAAAAAATCAAGTTAATTTTATTTTTAAAGAAAAACTGATGTACTTAGATGGGGCGGAACCGGGGATTGAACTCAGGCCCTTGTGCTTGCCAGGGAAGCACTTATTCTACTGAGCCATCTCCCTGGCCCCATGATGAAGAATTTTTAACTCTCAAAATACGAGACTTGGAAATGGCAGGATTTTTGTTTCAAACACTGATTTCAGGGCATTGTGTGCTTACTGGATCAACCTGTTTCTCCCAGTGCAAAGACACGTAACCTCAGCCTGACCTTTCAAAATAAATCGCAGCTTTTGTAACATTTTCCCAAGAGTAACCCTTTCTGGATTGGCTCGCTGTGTACTGCACAAGCTCCAGGCTCAAAGACTGAGGGAGCAGGCGACTCGTTGAGACTGGGACAACTTTCTTGGTTGTCAACTATTTTATGGTCAGGAAAGATCACTTAAAAAATTATATTTGAATATAACTATTAAAATAAAGGCAAGATTACATTCACACTATTTTATTTACAATGTTAAGAACTGCATGGGGGCTGGGGGGATAGCTCAGCAGAATAAGCGCTTGCCTGGCAAGCTCAAGGTCCTGAGTTCAATCTCTGGTACCGCAAAAACAAAATCGAAAAAAACACACATAACATTATAGCATAGGGGCTGGGGAGACAGCTCAATAGAATAAGCACTTGCCTGGCAAGTGTAAGGTCCTGTGTTCAATCCCCAGTACTGAAAAAAAAAAAAAAAAAAAAAAAAGAACTGCATGGGCCAGCCAACTAGCTTAGTGGATTAAGGCACCTGCAAGCAGGTGCAGGGACCAAGGACTTGATCCCTGGGCCTGCTGTGCTGGCCCTGCCCCTGGGATGCACTGAGATGGCAGTTGAGACTGGGCATGGTAATGCACGCCTACAATCCCAGCTCCTGAGAGGCTTTAAACAGGAGAATCACTATGAGTCCAATCTAGTAGTGAGACCCTGAATGCCCTGTAGACTCTTCCCTAAAATACAGAGAGAGAGAGAGAGAGAGAGAGAGAGAGAGAGAGAGAGAGAGAGAGAGAACTGCTTGTATGTTTCACCCTGCTGCTATGAACGTGGACAGGTCCAAACCCGCACACTCAGGGTAGAGGGAAGCAGAGGCGACAGGAGGCTGCTGGAGTCCTGAAGGAGACTGGCTCATCCCCTCCAGCATCTGTGGAGCAGACAGCTAGGAAGACTCCTTTGCAGGTATTATTTCTGCAGGGAACTAACTTACTCTGATCAAAAGGGCTAATATGATCTGGCCCCAAATAACCATGGCGAGATGCCAAGTGAAATCTCTCCTAAATGTGAGTGTCTTGGCTGTTTGCACAAACCAGACACAGGCTGCAGTAACCCCCTCCAGCTGTCTCTCTGCCAGTCACAACAAGGCCCTGTGCTTCCCTCGCCTTTGGTGGCTTCCCATATCTTGCCTTCCTCACCGGGCCGTACTCTTGGAGCCCAGATGTGAGAGCTGGGGTGCAGGCTTCGGTCCCCTCACTTGCAATTTTAGGACTTTTAATGCAAAACTGATTAACTTATTGTTGACACAGAAATTGGTATTTTTACTAGTCATGCAAGAGAGGAGATAAGGGAGAAGGGACAGGACAAAGGAAGAAGAGGACATTCGGGAGGGGACGAGGATGTGTGTGACGCAGCCGAAGCGCCCCCTTTGAGCTCGCGGCCTCCTCTGCCTGAGCAGCTCTTCGCTTTGACTTGGAGACCATGGAAGTCCTCTCACCATTGTTGGGCTTGTGATTTACTAAAAAGAGAAATAATCAGTTGGCACAGGACAAATCGTGGGCCAAGGTAAGACTAGGGATACGAGAACAAGATAATCCACATCTGTGGTACCGTGATGAGCATACCCAGAGGCTGTGGCCAAGGACTTATCTGAAGCCCAACATTTCTACCCCTTAAACATATATTTACTAGGGCTGGGGAGTTAACTCGGTGGAATAAGTGCTTGCCTGGCCAGTGCAAAGTCCTGAGTTCAAACTCTGGTACCACAAAAAATAAATTAATTAAAAGAAATAAAAAATTGAAAAAAATCACAATTACATTTGGGGCCAGGGAGATGGCTCAGTGGAATAAGCGCTTCCCTGGCAAGCTCAAGGTACAGAGTTCGATCCCCAGTTCTGCAAAATAAATAAATAAATGAATAAATACACACACACACACACACACACACACACACACACACTTATTGAATGTTCGGTCCATCCCAGCACTGAAGTGAAATAAAGATCCCACTGAGTATTACTTCCTGTTCCCCAGAGCTTAGAAAAACAGTGCAGTCTTTATTCCTACCTGCCACCTGCGTGTATTGTGGCATGGACAATAAAAAGGTTTTGTTTGCTGGGCTTGCTGCTACAAGAGTGTACCCTTCGTTTGCAGAATCTTTTGTTGTGGCTTGGCATGTGGTGGGTCCCCAACATAGGTGTTGGTGCGAGGCTGCTGTCCATGGTCCGCAGGGCGGGGAATGGACATAGCTTTGTCCTCGTGCTTGAGATTTCAAGAGTGTAGCGTTGCGTTCACCCAATAGGCTACAATTACAGCTATCCCTGTATCTTAGGAGCCAACACTAGGAAGGTATGATCCATATTGGCATAGAGAGCACAGAATATTGACAATCAGAATGTTTCCATTTGGGTCTAATTTTTTTCTTTGCGTTCCATGAGCACATGAGTTTGTAGAGCCTGAATCAGTGAATCCCTGTGGTCCTCCCCAGGTCTGCAGCTGAGTGCTCTGGGTCAGGAGGAGAGAGTGCAGCTCTGTCCTGGCTGCTGAGAGCAGGGCAGCCAGCGCAGCCTGGATGCCGAGGAGCAGGGGACGTGAGCAGGCCCACAGCACGGGCCAAGTAAGCAGCTGAGCTCTGGCATTTCCCACCAATGCTAAAACGACTGTGGGCAGGACAATGTGCATGTGACCATTTGGTACCTATAAGTTATAAGTGTAATGCAAAATTTCATTTGCTGGCCCATATTTTTGGGGATTCAATTAGCAGCAAGAGACTTAGGCTGACTACTGAGGTTCTTGACACCTTATCAGATCTTCAGCAGGAGATTTTTTGTGCAAAGAATGTTTTGTAGGACAGAGAGGCAAAGAACAGGATCTCTCAGGGAATCCCAGTAGAGCTCTTTAGCTTTCATCTTCAAGATCCATGTGTGAGCTGCTGTCACGAGCAGCAAGGCCTTAGCAGAGGTCTGTGTGTAGGCTCAGGGGCCAGCAGAGGTTGGAAGCGTGAGCAGGGATGTCCCACCTGCCCCAGGCCATGGTGCCCCCACAACACTCCTGTTTCAAAACCTAATTTGAAGGCAGAGGCAGCACCTAGCAAGGGACTCTTGATTTCTGGTTAAACCCGAGGTTAGAAACAGCTTGAGGGGCCGGGGAGATGGCTCAGTAGGATAAGCGCTTGACTGGCAAACGCAAGGATCTGAGTTCAATCCCCGGTTCCACAAAAAAAAAAGAAAGAAAGAAAGAAAGAAACAGCTTGATGCGGAGGGAAATGCCAAGCTATTCAGTTGCTTTTCTAAGTCCTCTCCTGATCTATTCCCCAACCCTCTGACAAAACCTGACATCAACTAAATGCAACTCAAAAATTTTCTCTCAGACATTACTATAAAACATATCAATAATTAGTTTAGTTTATTAAGGCGAAAGTAAGACCTGATATTTAAGTTTTTGCAATAATAAAAGTTAGAGACAATATTTAACACATTTTCTGTTTCTCCAAAAGTGATGTATCAGAACTTCAAAAAGTGGAGAAATTTCTGCGAAAAATAACCACTCAAGGCCAGGGAAATAGCTCGGTGCTCTAAGTGTCTGCCTGGCAAGCACAAGGACTGAGGTTCAATCCCTGGTACTGCATGCTGTTCCAGCCCCTAGAAATACAGACGTGTTGGTGCATACCTGTAATCCCAGTGCAAGAGAGGCTGAGACAGGAGGATCACTACTAGTCTGAGCTACATAGCGAGACCCTGTATCAAATAAATAAATAAGAAAAAGAACTAATGAGTGGGCCAAATTATGTTATCAGTCACTAACATCCAGGTATTCTGTTAATATCCACAATCTGATAACAGTTTTGGCTCTCTGGCTTGTCTTCATAGGTAATACTCACAGCACCCTAAATGTGCATACTGTCCAGCCTTAATCTAAAGTAATTTGCAATTAAATAGGCAGGGCTGCAATTGGTAAAGATGGCAGTGCAAAGCTGTGGCAGCCGGAGGTGAGATCTGAACCAGAACCAGAGAATCTAACTGAAAACATGCTAAAAATGTAAAATCCCTCTCTTTACCAAAAGATATAAGAAATTATGAAATTCTGTGTGGATAATTAAAACAAGGAAAGGAGAAAAGCAGAGATCACCTTTGATTACAGATACTAAAAAATGCATGCAAATATTTTCTTTGACTTTATCTTGAATTATTTAAATATAATTGCTATAGTTTCACTACTTAATGTATCTGGGAGGTCTTTAGAAAAGAGATTGAAGGGGGCCAGGAAGATGGCTCAGTAGAATAAGAACTTACCTGGCAAGCGCAAGGGCTTGAGTTCAATCCCTGGTTCTGAAAAAAAAAAAA